ATTAACTGACTTATGTCAGTAAAATTCGTATTTTCGGCTGCTTCTTCTTGTATAGTTTCACCATCTCCTTCCAGCTCTGCATCCTTTCTTTTTATTTTCCTTTTTTACTTTTTTATCTGACTTCAGATTCCATTACCAGCATTTCTGCATTTTCTCAATAAACGTCTTGGATAATGCAAATCTCCCCCAAGGCCAACTTCTACAACGCACTGCACTGTCCCCTTGCTCCTAGCCGTGTAGAATGCCATTTAAGAAGCCTACAACTCCAGATACTTCAGCAACTACAATACCGTATGTATGTCGCATCGTTTTGTTACGCATTGATGTCAAACAAAACTAACAATGTTTCAGGAGCTGGCACCCTATATTCTACCACATAAATATAAAAGTACGCTCGTACGCCAGAGAATATCACACAACACAGAACTCATCCAAGACCAAATTAGACGGCAAACTCAATTACTCTCAATGCGAGGTAGTTGTAGTGAACAAAATGATGCGCTATGCATCTAGCACTACAGCTGCTCAAATGCCATGGTTTGTGATGTGACGTTGGCTACCCGCATGTATGCGCAGTTCATGGCTCACGTTTCTTCAGACCATTATCTTGAGCCGTTTGAATAAGCAGACTGTCTCTGGTGCGATATCCGCTGCATCCGCAATTTACAACGCTTTGGCTATAAGACACCATTTACCGCATCGCAGAGTGAAATATTCCTCTCTGAAAGCAGATCTGGCTCTACCTCGTTCCTCTATGTTGCATGCTGACCTCCTGGAAGACGTCTACGGCGTTTTGGTTCAAATATGACATACTCACGGGCTGGAGTAAATGGCGCAGGCTGAACCAATTTGCCTAGCAGGATCAACTTCCTTTCCTTAATCTCCACATCAACCAAGGGCTTTTGTTCCCGGAACAGAATAGTAATTCCGTAAGTGGTCATGCCATCAATATACGTCGAAGGGAACGCTGTAGTTCAATCCTATTCTAGTTCATTCATCAGATCACCTCTCTTCATTCTGTACAACAACACTGACCAGGCAGACAGGCTGACTATACAGGCAAGATACAGGCGGATTTTCGAGGGAATAGTAGCTCATATTTCAGCCCAAATATAGGAATGCTCCGTGGACTCTGGTAGAAAATGCCAATACTATCACTATCAACACAATACTGGCCAGAACTGAATTTTAACACCCGTCAATCCTGACTTTTAAAAACTCGCAAGGACAGATGAAGCTGATTTTG